ATTGTAATCTTATTAACAAGGGAAATAACAAATGTGCCTCTTGCAAACTGTTATTTCCCTTGAAACAACAATAATAAGCCCTTGATATTTGACAAGCTTTAAAATCAATTAAATATTGCAATTAAAATGATCGATCTCTGCTCTGCTGTCTATATGCGGTGAATTATTCAATCAACCCGTATGATTTATTCAAATAACAAAGTGCAAAAGGCGAAGAGACAGAAATTAGACAGAATAAAAATTGCATGCTAGACCCCTAGACCTAAAAGGTCACACAAAAATCCTTTTTTAAACAAAAATGTAAGTTCTGTACTTAACTTCAGGAAGTTATCAGAGCCTACATTAAGAAGCTCTGTACAAATGTACAGTCCGCAAACGGTAAAAAGTCGCGCAAACGGTAAAAAGTCGCGGGAGTTTATTATTAATTTTTTTATTACAAAAAAAAACCATCATGATTCACACAGATTGCTTGGTTTTTTGTTTTTTTTGTCCTCCACAGATCTAAAGCAAAGCAAGAGCTGATCACAGCTATGATGCCAAACAGGGTGGTGGGTATATAGTGCACTTTAAAGATGGCCTGTTGATTAGTACATTACCATATGACACAATATGTTATAGCCTGTTGACACTCTAAAATGTGTTCTAGTAAAAACAATCAAACCCGTTCTACTATTAATTTATAAACACAAGAAGGTTATACCTTAGCTAGATATTATGTTTTACAGAGTTTATTTCTTATATTGTTTTCTCTATCTAACACAATTTTGTTATTACCTGGTGCTAAAAATCAATCTAGGAAATACACATTTAATATACAGGGTGACATAAAAAGTGGGACTGCATTATGAAATCTCGTGCAATGTATTTCAAATGTAGGTTTCTGTGGTTTTTAAACTGAAACATCATACTTACTTACTAACTAGATAGATGTATGACATCATTACTGCCTTAAATTTTGGTAGACATCTTTAAATTAATTTTACAGTGTGTTAACTTTTTTTTTTTTTAATAATATAAATTACATAAGAAGATTGAATTTTCTGCAAATGGAAAAACAACTGGGTGCTAGGCAAAAGACTACTGTGTCTAGTAAATGACTACTGTGTCTAGGAAATGACCACTGTGTCTAGGAAATGACCACTGTGTCTAGGAAATGTCCACTGTGTCTAGGAAATGACTACTGTGTCTAGGAAATGACCACTGTCTAGGAAATGACCACTGTGTCTAGGAAATGACCACTGTGTCTAGGAAATGACCTCTGTGTCTAGGAAATGACCACTGTGTCTAGGAAATGACCACTGTGTCTAGCAAATGACCACTGTCTAGCAAATGACTACTGTGGGTAGGAAATGACTACCGTGTCTAGGAAATGATCACTGTGTCTAGGAAATGACCACTGTGTCTAGGAAATGACCACTGTCTAGCAAATGACTACTGTGGCTAGGAAATGACTACTGTGTCTAGGAAATGACCACTGTGTCTAGGAATGACCACTGTGTCTAGCAAATGACTACTGTGGCTAGGAAATGACTACCGTGTCTAGGAAATGACCACTGTGTCTAGGAAATGGCAACTGTGTCTATGAAATGACCACTGTGTCTAGCAAATGACCCCTTATCTTGACATGTATATAAGATACAAAAAATATTGTAAAATTGTGAGAATGTCATTAGGGAAATAGAAAAAAATTGCCAAGTTATCATCACAGTTACAGAGAGTAGTAAGGCTTATACAGCAATGAAGTCTTTCAAAAAGCTGTAGGATATTCAATTTTTTTTTTACATTTTATTCTCTCCTTCTTGCAGAGTTATAACATTAATATCACAACATTGACATCATAACATAAACATTACAACACTGACATTACAACACTGACATCACAACATTAACATTACAACATTGACATCACAACATAAACATTACAACATTAACATTACAACACTGACATCACAACATTGACATCACAACATTGACATCACAACATTGACATCACAACATAAACATTACAACATTAACATTACAACATTAACATTACAACACTGACATCACAACATTGACATTACAACACTGACATCACAACATTGACATCACAACATAAACATTACAACATTAACATTACAACGCTGACATCACAACATTGACATCACAACATTGACATCACAACATAAACATTACAACATTAACATTACAACATTGACATCACAACATTGACATCACAACATAAACATTACAACATTAACATTACAACACTGACATCACGACATTGACATCACTTTAACATTACATTGAAATCACAACATAAACATTACAACATTGACATCACAACATTAACATCACAACATAATATAACATTACCATCACAACATTGACATTACAACATTAACATATTGATATCACAATTACAACATTAACATTACAACAATAAAAAAACATTTGGCAGTAGCGATGTCCTGAAACACAAAAATAGCTACATAAATGTACTAAAAGCTAAGTAATATAAATACAAACATCTAATAACTCTAAGAGATGCACAGAAATCTACGCAGCACATCATATGTATGTTTTACTTTTTTCATGAACCTGGATTTCATTGCTGTAATTTAATTCTATAAAAAGTAACTAAAACTGAACGCAGTACAATTATTTTCTCTGCTTATTTTGCAGTAATGATGTATTGTGCCTTGAAGCCCCTTCCAGAGAGTGTAGCATCAGACTGGAAGACGATGTACACGCCCACTCCCCCTGGTAAAGTCACATTTTGGGGTGCGACACCCCCACAGAATACACCGAGAAGTATGCCAACAACAGAGCTTCCATTGTACACCGCGATCGAGTCGTAGGGGCAGGTGGTGCCTGCACTTTCCATATCCAAGTCAGAGAAACTGAAGAAAATTCATAACAGCATTAATAAAACCACATCAATATCATTTTGGTGTTTACAATATTGTTTAATTGCTTGTTACTGATTCCTCAATTTCACTATACAAAAATAATCCCATCCCCCCCCCACGATTCATGCACTACACATGACAAATCTTGATAATATTGTTTAATTGCTTTTTACTGATTCCTCAATTTCACTATACAAAAATAATCCCCACCCCCCCCCCCCCCACGATTCATGCACTACACATGACAAATCTTGATGTAGCATAACTTACACTTTAAACAAAACCATTTATATTATGTACAACTTGGGGGCATTATAATACAAATATTTTGGTTTAAAAACTACGTTTCAAAATTCATGCACTTCGAACAATACTAAAATATAATTAATGGTTGTGCTCCAGGCCCTAAAAGGTTGGAGACCCTCAACTACAACTTGCAAACTTCTAAAAATGTTAAAATTACAGTTTCTCTAGATGATCCTGATCTGATGGGCCTTATTAAAACAATCTTTTTAGACATTCTTTTTAGACATTCTTTTTAAGACATTCTTTAAAAAAATTATTTTTATACATTCTCTAAAACATTCTTTTTAGACATTTAGTTTTAAAACATTCTTTTTAGACATTCTTTCTATTTTAAAATCTAATAATTAAAATTAAAGAATATATGACGTACTAACTCAAAGATATTGTTATATACCTGAGAGTGATGACAGTGTTTTGTGATGCTGGAATATTCCAACTACACGTGACATTGGCTGGGTACTTCTGTGGGTAGCCTGGACTCACAATAAAGCCGGTGCTGTTGGTTACGGTCGTGTTGCAAGCTGGGGACCACAACAGAAAATCAGCTGGATGCGTGAGAGTTGTTAAGTTTGAAAAGCCTTGACAGGTTGGTCAATAGTTGACAAAGGCTGAATTAAAACTAAATTTTATGTGGCTGATTGACACTTTGTTCACGTGAACAAAGGATTGAAATTTGTCTTCCACACATTACTTCATCTCCAACTCACATCCAACCAAAATTCAAATAAGCAATAATTTACCATTAAACGTAATAATATTTGATGATTCTACATGATGGCTAATAATTCCTTCACATTAAAAAATTTTTGTACTACATTTTTTCTCTTACACAAGCCAAAAATATAAGATGTAACTAAAGCTGGATAAATAGCTGAAAAATAAGATTTAGCTATAGCTGGATGTGTATAAATAACTATTACCATTGGTCTCTATACACTGTGTGTCGTTTCGTGAATCCAGTCTTGCCCATGCTGGACAGACGCATTTCTCCACTCTGGGGTTAGTGGACACCACCTGGCAAGTGTGAGAACACTTTTTGATCTTGCATTGTGCTGGGGAACAGAAACCATGTGTAAAACTCATTGATTTTCTCTATGTTTAAGAAGTTCCACAAGAGATTACAACCTAAATAAATAATTCCATTCTAAAACAGTGGCAAGACAGAATTTTAGAAAGCTGGATATTTACAGAGACATGATTACAATGTCTGAGAAACTGTCTGAGAACCAATAAATATTATAATTATATTTGATATTCTAGTAAGTTATGTAACTTTAGGATTTAACATACAATGATATCTAATAAAAAATTTAAACTCAATTAGCAAGAGACTACTGAGCAGCACAGCTCATGACTAACTTACATTCGGCCACATAAGAAGCTATGAAGCCTCTCAAATTTACAGATTCATCTGTTGTGAAGACAACATGCAAAGCATTGCCTGAAGAAACAATTGTCTTAGGAACTGTCTCGCAGTATTGACCAATCATGTTAGATCTGCTGCTGTTGCCATCATAGACCTCCAGGTAGTCAAACGGGCATCCTTCCACATCAAAGTCTGTGATGCTGAAATTAAACAGAAATAAACAGCCAACGGTTATTGAGAATATTTGCCAAGTTTAATAAGATTTTGAATAAGCGCATGGTATTTTTCCCACAAGCTTTCCATTGTTTTTAAGTATCAGATAAAGGCTTATAATATTTTGTAAAATTATTTTCTTGTCGGCTGGTTTTAAGTGCCAATACCGGTAACTGCAAGAATTAGGTAAATCTAACATACTTTAATGTTATTATGGCATTGGCCTGCCCTGACACAATAGTCCAAGTACAATATGATTGGTCGGGATAGTTTGCTGGGTAGTTGGTGCTCATAAGTTTTCCTGATGCCTCTGTCAGTGTTCTGTTACAATCTGCATGCAAGGGATAAATTAATATTAACAAACTGAAATATATTATTTGTAAACAGAAAATGCACAAAAATGGGATTAAAAAAAAAATCTTCAGTTAAATTAAAGATCAATTATAATTTCCTAACGACTAATCTATTTATTTTACATTGTGGTATGTTATTTCTTTAAAATATGTTACATTAAGTTTCAAATGCGCTTTTTTTTAATCAAGAGGAGAACAATATATATATATATATATACAGCAATTACAGATGCAAAAGTTTTGTTAATTTTTATATTAAGAAATATTTTACCTATACACCTATAGCTCTGAAGATTCTGTGGCAGTCCATTCATACACAAACACTCGTAGTCATTTCCCTTTGGTTTGCATGGTAAGTTATTGGTGCAAGGATTGCTGAGACAGCTGTTCACAGAGCAGTCGTCTGTCGATATTCCAGCTTTACAGACACACAGGCTGAAGGATTCATTGCAGTAACGTGTGTTCTCTGATACACATCTATTGGAGCAGTTCTTGGCTGTGGAAGAAAATATATACATCATGATTAAGTTAACCCCAATTAATTTCTATATTAATTTCAATGATGGGGTCTATCCATAAAATACTGCTTCTTAACACTCAGTTAATTAAGTCTAAGGAAAGAGTATCTGTACTGTGATGAAAATGAAATATATTTTTTTTTAATGTGATATTTACCCAGACATGTCCTGGGGTTCAGAGCACTAACAACGAACCCATCATTACAGCTGCACCTGTAAGAGCCTTCTGTGTTGGTACAGATCTGATCACACACTTTAGTTCCATTGCATTCATCTTTATCTGCAGGTTAAAGTTGAAATTGTGATGTATATATTTAAAATCTTTTTTAAAATTAGGCGACATTTCATTTTATCCCCAGTTTTAAATTGATTTTCACAGATTGTAGTATTTTAAGGGTTTTTGTTTTTTGTTGAAGTTATTTGTTAATTGTTTTGTAAAAAGTGAAATCAAAGTTGTTTTTATTAACAGTCTGCCCCATGGTGGAATGTTGTCATTGCTAGTCTCTCAACCAGGACATTGAGTGTTGGATTTTTGTAAGGGGCCTTTTCCAGCTTTGGGTAAATGTCAATTTGGCAGTAATTCTTGGGAGGAGGCAGAACCTAAGCTATTATCCTCAATATCATATTAGTCAGAAGACAATAACCAATTTGGCAATCTATTTATCAACTGTTATCTATGAAAAGATATCCGTGGTCTTATCACGTAGAATATAGTTGCCGGAATAAAAATACAGGATAGTTGTTAAAAGTGCTAAAATATTACACTTACCTATACACCTTTTATTCAAATCCTCAAACCCAGCAGGACATGGTCCACACACATGACCAACAGAACTGTTCCCTTGCTGGGCAGCCGTCAGGTCGGTACAGTTTTGTCCTTGAGAACAGGGCTTTGACTTACAGGCGTCCTTCTCAGTTGCACAAGAATCGCCTGAAATAATGATATTTTCAAATGTTTGAGTGTACTCCTCTTTTTTGAAAAAAGTAACGTCAATCCATTTTATCGAATCTAACCAAAATTAACTGTTAAGACATTAAACAACTTGTTTCATTTATGTGCAGAATTTTCATCATTAATTATGATAACACTGGTTCCTTCAAAGATGTTGAACAACTTCCTTTCCTTAGTATCCATGTGATAATGTATTTTAGTGTTATTAATTCATCAATGCGCTAGAAGTAAAATATGTATGTCAAGAAGCTTAAGGTTATGGTTTCTCTCTCACCTATGTAAGCAGGCAGACATGCACACTTGAGCACCTGAACTAGCCCATCAAAGAACTCTATATTTCTTGTGTTATTCAAGTCACAGGTACCATGTCCACTACATCTTGGACAAATTATAATCGGGACATAGAAGATTGGTGAGTAGCCATTCTTGGTGTCTTTTACACGCACCCTGAATATTAAAAATATCAGTGAGCAGGAATAATTCAAACCCAAAACATTAAATATAAATTTGTTCCAATATTAATTTTTTTTTAAAACTAAATATGACATAAAATGAATTATTTCTAAATCAACAAAACATTTTTTTTGTGTGTGTGTTTAAAATTATATTATATGATTTTTCTTAGCATTCTACTTTTAAAAGTGCAATTAAATATTAATTTAATTTTTTTCACTACATGATTTTGGCGTAATCACACCTAAAAATTAGTTGTTTCTATTTCCGTCTGATGTTGTATCTTATAGCTTGGTACATGCTTAAGAATGTATAAACATCTGATTTAGGCAGTTCTAGTTCTAGCAACACAAAGCTTACATCCTCTTCGCCTTTTTGTTTTTCTTTCTTTCGTGTGTGTTAAAATGTCTAAATTAAGCTCTTACAATTCAAGTTATCATTTTGAAGTTATTATTATAAAATATTATTTATCTCATTTTGATTTTTAGCAGTGAAATCATTATTTTTTTAAAGTTTTTTTATTTGAAGAAAAGTAATGAATAATACAAATTATGACACCAATCACAATTTAGAAACATTAGTGATATAACATCTCATTATATCCACTATTTACTAGTTACTTAATTAGTTTAATATAAGTAAGGCACCCTATTAATAAAATAGTTGAGCCCTTTTGAACATAAAATATTGTTTTATTGACAACAATAAACATACCCAATATTGACAGGCTCTAAACTGTTTGGTGTGTATGTAAGGATACCGCTCTGATTGACTGATGCCCCTTTAGGGCTTCCATCCAGCAAATAAATCAGCAAATCTCCATCATTGTCAGTGGCTGTAAACTTCAGTGTGTTGACAGCACCGTCCTGTACAAACCAGCGTTGGTTGACAAATTTTGTGCCATTCGCAACTGTGATGTTTGGTATGTGATTTTCTGATTTAAAAAAATTGTAATAAATAGTAATTCATTTTTTTAATTGTATAATTCTTATAAATAATATAGTGCAATCACTTTAACTGTTTCATTATTAAATTTAAATCTGAAATAATGCAGTGATTACAACCAATAATAATCACAAAGTGCAAAAAATCAAAATAGCTTTTATGAAAAAAAGTTGCGTCACTTTCAAGTGAGCATAAATAATGCCTAAGTCTTTTAAAATCTTACCCAGAGTCTTTCTCGAAGTGATTGAAAAGGCTTGTGTAGATTTGGTGTTCGCCGCAAACCTTTTATCGCCAGTCACTAAATAATCATAAATACACAGTTCTTCTCCCACACCACAAACTGCTACTGCCTCTTTAAACAGAGCCGAACTGTTACCGAATGAGCTTCTAAAAACAGGCGTAAAGCCTGCCTTTGTATAGTTGTCTGCAGTCATTCCATTGGCATAAATGAAGACAGATGTAGCTGTTGTTACTTGGTCTGAGGAGATTTTTTTTATATTCATTACATGCATTAAAAAAAATGACTACTTTAATTGTGATATTTGAAAATGTGTGTGTTGTATGTTCTTAAATTAAGATTTTCTCACTTTAAAAGTGATCTCCTTTAGTAACAAAATACACATAGTTCAATTTAATATCTGTCATGTAAATGAAGAAACCGAGGAGCATTTCACTAACTAACACTTGAAAAGATGAACAAGAGAAGGTATTTTAATCTCAATTTCCAAAAGTGTTACAGGGATACACAAGACACACCTCAGTTGCTTCCAGCTAGTTTTTTTTTTCATACACTGGGAAAATGACAAAATAATCATAGTTTTCTGATGTTATCAGATGTTGAATGATCAGGAAAACATCAAGGTAAATGTCCTAGGGTACAATTTTGTACTGTTTTATTACTAGCAAAAACATTATTCTAAGAAAGGTTTCACATATTTTGAATGGGATGCCTTTACAGTTAAAAGCCAAAGTATTTAACTATTTACATTGAAATTAGATGATTGGTAAAGGAATTCTCCACATAAAAATTTAACAATGACCACTGAAAATTTACAACAAAATGACAGTAGGAGAAAAATCAACTGTTAACAAATTTAATTTTCAAAATTTAAAAAAAAATAATAAAACACTTTAAAATAATAATTTATTTATCCTCACATTTTGTAGCAAAATTTCTGTAAATTTGCTCTTCCGTCATGTTGGCAGGCAGAACTGTTCCATTTGGCAGTAAAAACTCATCGTCCTTCCTACCATTGAAATTTCCGAGTAAACCTTTTGTTTTGTTCCTGAGGTCTTTATCAACTTCCAAGTTCAATTCTAAACAATCAACTCCTACATTTACTTGAACGATTACATCTAGAAATAGATAGGATGTAACCTATATGTAAATTTTCAATTGCAGCTTTTAAAAAATAGGGGTGATAATTTTATGTTATCTTTCAATGATGGAGGGAATAAAACTTGACTTCCAAATTATTTCAGTATTTATTCAACAAATTGTCTTAAAGAAAAGTCTATACTGGTTTTATCTAGCATTTCTTGTTAAAATAAATTAATATAAATTTTAACATTAAAAAAAATTCTACAGTTACAACATGCCAATTAAGAATTAACGCATCCTTGAGATTAAAACAGTAGGAAGAGGATACATTTTTAATAATATCGAATAAAGCTACAATCTTACTACTGGGAAACAGGGCTGCCACTTTGGTTTTATTAAAGCGATTGTCACGGGAGATGTCAATATATTCTTTCGCCAGACGGAAGGTCGCATTTCTGTAAAAGTCTGTGGTATAGTTAAATCCATCCACCAATATGACCATTGCTATTGAAGAGAAAATGCTTGTTGTTTTCATTTTTTTCAAGAGATTTACATATTTAAACTTCCGTTTTCTAGGTTTTAATAAGTCAGCAGTTAAATACAAATGAATTGAAAAATGTTGTATATAGTTATGTATATTTTATAATGTATAGAAAAATCCTAATTCATTCAAATATGATTTTTTTTTTAAACAAACAATTGTATTATAAAGAAATTGAGCAATAAAATCTGCTTTTAAATTGATAACTACTTCTTGAATAGGAATACATTTCTAAAATGATATTAATAAATATTATGCTAAAAGATAACAGTGGGCAAGCCTAATTGATGAAAGAGTTGGCATCTTAATTTTTAAAAATTAAAGCATCGTAAAAGTCACACACTTTTCTTATCAAATGAGAGTTCCACTTGAAATCTGGCATAATCCCCTTCTCTAGCAGCAAATGCTGTGAAAACAGTTGCATTGGTCAAGACACCATTACTTGATTTTACTTGACTTGTTCTAGCCTGCAAAAAATGTAATCTTGGTCATAAAATATGCAAATACTCAGTTCTTTGTACATTGTTAACATTATTCAAAAGTAAATAATTGACCATGTGTCAGTTGTTTTAAAAGAAATTGCAATATTATTATTCTAAATAAAATAACCATTATAAAAAAACACACATTTGGCAGCCTATTGGACACAAATTTCCCCTTAAAATAAGTCTAAAATGTGGGGTGCACCAGTAAGCAAAATTATATTCCCTTGAGTCCTATTCACCAGCAAATATGGTAATCCTCATTTGTAAATGAAAATCATTGGTAACTCTGGAAACAAATAGAGAGCACCTCAAGACAATATTTATTACTATTATGTTTCAAGATGTCCTTAAATCTAACCTGAAGCATAAAGTTGATTGACAGGATATCCATAAGAGTCCATTCTCCCAGTCCATTCATGGTGTAAGTTAAATTGTCAAATGTAATGACATGTGGGTCACCAAGCAGATTAGCTGAAATTAATCACACATTTTACTTGTTTTTCAAACTTTAAAAAAAAAATTTAATTAAAAACTTATTTATTTAAGTTTGATAACAACAAAATAGCCATCAAAATGATGCCAATACAATAATATTAAATATAAATAATTATTTTATATTTTTTAAAATCAGGCTAACGTGCTTTAAAACCCCAAAAATAAATCCCAATCAGATGCAATTTTGTAAATTAGTTAATGTGTTTCACAATTTAGAAGAAAGTGTTAACATAAGAAGTTCAAGAATATATATGACTTAACTGGTGGTTACCATAGTGGTAGAGTAAGAATAATCAAATGTTTACTAAAAATGAGGAACATTCAAATAAATAAAATCTTATTCACAAATGGGGAATTCAAGTAGTTCATTTTTAATTTAGAATTTCAACAAAATATTCAGACCAAGATATGTTGTCCTGTCATTAGCAGTGGAAACATCCAGCCAAAACGTCCATGTTGTTTTCTTGTTTTGTTTATTCAAGCTTCGGCACATCTTGTTCTGAATATTTCATCTACACGACGTGTACACAGTCCCTACTATATTATCCAGGATATCCAAGAAGTGCCAAATAAAAACTTTAAACTATCCTGACCTGGAGCAAATGTGACAGTATAAGAGCAATCCATATCTGGGTAGATGGAGTTGAAACGGCCACACATCTTAGAGTCTTTTGCATCCTTGCAGCACCACTGATGGGCATCAAGGTTTTCTTGAACACCTCTGAACCAGTTTTGATCTCCAACCAACACGTGCCCGGCATCAGCTGTGTTGTGTATGAATGAAGATAAAGCTATAGAATCAGCCCATGTTTCCCAAGTGCTGCCACCTGGTGGCTTCTTCCACTTGTAACAACAAAGCTGAGGGAAAACAACAAAAAATTAATAAATTCTTTATTAATCAAAATGAGCAAATTACTTCTTCATTTCAATAACAGTTTTTTTTTAAATGCACCTTTATCCCTGAATGAGCAAGAAGTACACACATTTAACACAACAATGATAACTTAAATAATTGTTGAAACCTTATTCCTTGGGTTCGATCCAAGTAGTCTCCTCTTTGCCACGGCACTGATAGCATAGCAGTAAATGTCTTGTCCTCGGTTTTCAGAAAACATCCACTGTAACCCCAACTGACCCACTGTGCAGGGGCAATTATAGAGTTGTTGAATCTCTGACCTGTACGCAAAGTTGTTGATGAAACGAGAGTTCTTGCAAACATGTTTTTGGCACTTCTGAATTGAAGTTGTGTTTCGTGAAACCTCAGAGATAAAGGATTCCAAGTACTTTGCTAAGTGAAGAAATTAGAAAATTAACTGTTCAGATTTAGTAAGCCTTTAAAACAAATGGACTAAAACAAATTTTTAAAAATATAATACTCATTATATAACAATAGTTAAAATAATAAAGATTAATTTTCATATAGGCATGCAAAAAATGATCTCATTAAGACTAATGATTAATAAAAGGTATGCTTTGAAAAATGTATAAAAGTGCAGCAAAGTATAACAGAATTTATGTTGCAAATCTTTGAGAAGCTTCATATGGAAAATAATGTCTTGAAAAATCTGAGAAAACAATTTTAAAATGTTACATTTTTCTTAACAGACTAAAGGTATTTTCCATTATACCTTCCTTTAAATCAAATGATTTGTCTGTTACAGTGACCGTAAAGACAGTAGATGGAGTTTTAACATATCCTATTTCAGTTTCTCTCCCAATTTTATAAGGCCACTGCATTTGTCCTTTCTGGTAGATGTAACGGACATAGGCAGTCTCTTCATCTATTGAAAAAAAAAGAACAATTAAATCAGCGGCTATTTACACTTTTCCCCCTAAACACATTTCTATTTCTTGAATCGTCTACAAAAAAAAATTTTTTTAAACTTTTCAACTAAGGTATAATGGTGTAACAAAAGAGTAGTAATAACAATACTTAAAGATAAACTATTCTTTGACTTTAAAACTAGGCAATCTAGCGCAAAGCTTACTGTATTTTAATATCACTGCAATTCATTCAATTTTCATATTTGTTTAATCAGTTAAACTCTGTTGTAGAATTATTGACCTTAATTGACTGTGTACAGGATATTAGCTTTTATCAGAGTGTTTACCGCCTGTGTTTTATTTGATATGCTAAAAATATATATAAGCGCAATGTTTTCAAATCCCATTTTTCAAATTTGTACTAGGTAAAGAATCTTAACTTATCTTAATCTCATTATAAATGTATAAATACAATGCCTTTTTAATATAGTCAGGGAGTGTGTGTGTGTCAGTGAGTTTGTATCTGTGTGTCAGAGTGTGTATGTATCTGCATGTCAGAGTGTGTATGTATCTGCATGTCAGCGTTTGTGTGTCTGTGTTTGTAAGAGCGAGCATGAGTGTGTGCATGTGTGCATATGCATTATAATGAATTTAAATTTGTGTCATTCAAAGATTTAAATTTCACTCACCTGAGAAACCTTCATCAGTACTTAGGACTTGACGAAAACCACTTATGTAGACAGCTTGGAAAGTATTTCCCTTTGTATCTGTCTGTTGATAATATCATAATTTGAGTTAATAGGAAACATAGCCTTCAAATACACATACACATGGGAGACATAGCTCTAAAAGATTGAGAAATCTTAATTTAAAAAATAGAATTGTCTCTGTAATTTTATTATCTGAAACACTGAACATAATTTCACATCCAAAAATATATTTGTTAATGATTAAATGCAGTCTTTTTCCCCCACAGTTTTTGAGATTTTTTAAACAATTCAATAATGATCTTACCAACTCTGGAGGTTGCAAATCCACCCAAGTCACAAGGAGAACTCTGCTGACATCAAAGTCATAGACACCGGCAAATTCTTTAACTTCATTGGCTGCCCTCTCCAGCACTTTACTTTTAGATGGGGAGTTTGTTGTCGTGCTCTCCTCATTGAAATCTGATGGATCACATTTCTCATACAGATGGTAGTAGGTCTGACCTTTGGTGGAATCTGTTTTGGCCCAAAACGCTGCTATCAATTCAATTTTGTTGACAGCAGCTGCTTGTAGGTCAGGTTCCTCACTCACCTCAATTTTATCAAAGCCAATCAGGCCATTGCTAAAAACCTGAAAGACGTATGATAATTTAGTTAAACATTCAATCTTTTTTTAAAAAAAAGATTCATTTATATTTGAGGGTGCATACTTAAGTTGCCAAATTAGCATCTATCATACATTTTCCCCATTTTAATTATATCATTCAAATCCCTTATTTCAATCTATGAGAAATGTGTTGTTTAACTTACGTAAGCCTCTGTTTTCAAAGTTTCCCCAAATGGAGTTGGTGAAGTAAATACAATGGGATTGGCATTCCTGTATGAGTTCCCGACTTTCACATTGAGTGTTGTCAAGTTGAAATCACCCACAGACTGACCATAAGGGTAGTAAGGAACTGAGGTAAAAAGAAATTAAAAATGGGGTGCAATGGTTATCAAAGAATTAACGGATGTGAATTAATATGGAGCTTCCCCCAGCTAGAGGTTAATGGAAGGTAGGAATAAACTCATTAGCCAAGGAAAGCACGTTTTCTAGGGGATTAAAAACCTCAACCTACAAAATCAAAATCCAGAAGCTAACTTGGTTGGCTTGAGATAAAAATGTTTGCTTCCTTTTCAAAAATTTCCGTTTTCTAAGCTGATTTACGCTTCATTAAATTCAGATTTTTCTTTGGTGAAAAATTTCAGACTGTAAAAATAAATAAAAAAAATACTTAAAATTCAAAACAACAAACATAGATAAAAGCTAAATATTTATGATCTAATCAGTACTTACCGACACACATGTATTTTGTTTTATCTGTAGTTCCCAACTCCAAGCCATCAGGACAACTGCAAGTATCAGCCCCAGTGACGCTGTCATAATAGCAAGAATGGGAACACACTGTCTTGATCTTACTGGTGCAGCTGGCTCTTACATCTGTATAACAGACAGATATTTTTGTATATAAAGAAGATAATATGCTAATTTATAGCTAGTGAAGCTTTCAAACTTCATTGTGAACAAAGCTTGGGGTGGTCATGGATTTGCTTGGTTTTTTTGTGATGCCAATTTGTTGAAGGGAAGTTGAAGTTACAAAAAAACAACCAAAAAAAACAAAATATACAGTATATTAACTCAGTTGTAATTTGTATTGTAATTTGTAGAAAGTAAAAGAGAGGAAGAGGGTAATGTATGGCACTGAAGAAAATGGTTTAGTTTTTTTTGTGGTACACTTACATACTTACATTCATAAGTGGGATGTGGGACAAAAATACTTGTTTCCACATTAATGAGATAATGTCAGTTAATGAGTTAATGAAACCACATCAGATATGCATTTAAAACCAAGAAAGACTTTAATGTGAATGAATCATTGAAACCTCTTTAAAAAAACAACTGATATCTTGTTTTCTTTAGGAATAATGTAATATAAAATTAGTTAGGCTAAAAGACAATGCAATTTTTCATGGTGGATGTTTACGAATTTTAATATGAGAAGGAGAGTAATAGTTAATGATTATGCAATTTAAGACATAGTCATATTTATAGAATGATAAAAATCATAAATTCTAACATTTAAGATTATGTCAAAATTTTAAAGTAACCTCTTTAATGTATTCCTTACACCTATGCTCAGCTATTGTGCATTACATTTTATTATTTGCGTAAATGAGATCTAAATTTGTAATATGTCAGCTTTATAAAATCTTTTAACTTACTAACACACAGTCCATTGGCATTTTTGGCAAATCCATTTTTACAGCTGCAGTTGAATGAGCCAGGTAAGTTCTGACACACCTCGTTGACAGCACATTTAGGAAACCTGCACTCGTTGACGTCATCTGAGCAGTCACTGCCCATCCACCCAGCCTTACAAACACAGATCCCATTGATGTTGTCACAAAACTCAGTTTTTGTTTGGTCGCAGGTACATGAGAACTGACAGGTAATTCCATATTTAAATGCTGGACAAGCTATTATGAAATAAAAGATCATCTGCAATTAACTACAAGCAATGATGATAAAAACAGATTAACTTTAGGTTCCCCTTAACTAGGTTTGTTTACATAAGTCCTTTTTATTTTTGTAGTTAATAAATAGTAAAAAAATTGTATAATTTATTACTTATTTCAATCTATTTTCAAGACATCAGCCCAAAATGGAAAAAAAAAAAGGGGGGGGGGGGGTGTTTTACACCATCCACAAAACTGATGTGTATATATTTATATATATAAAATGGGCTTTTATGTCACAAATTAAAAAATAATTGCTTTTTGAATGAAGAAATAAATTCATTTGTGATAGGCTGGCCACAACATTTGACATGGTGGGCTGCAGGTCTGATTTTATTTTCAGTTAACATATTTTGGTTTAAAACTACCGCAAGCAGTGTTAGGAAAAGGGAAGAGAAGTGATGGAAGCAAATGATAGTGTTGGGCGGGGCGGGGTGGGGGTGGGGGGGGTCGTCCCCAGTATGTGCTTACATTTATGCATAAATTCTAAAATAATTTTCCTGACAGCCTCTAATAGACCCAACTGTCACCAAACAATTTGTTAAATCCATTATTTCTTATTAGGTCTTTTAAAGCTATAAAAAATACCACATTGTTTTGCGGTTATCAGCAAACTAATGCTTTGTGTTTTCATAGATAGCTCACTTGATACCGCTGTGGTAATATTTAGCCTAGTGACAACACAATGTAGTCTTTTCGTTTTTTTTTCATTTTCTATCCGATTGGCTTATTAACTTCTTTATAATTTAAGGAATAAAGAAATATATAGCACTACATATTTTAATCCTTTAAAACAGTGGTTGGAAGAGAATGTCTAATCAGCCAACACCTCCATTGTGAAAAGCTTGTGCTCCCTTTAAAAAAAATTTCTATCATAAAAATAATCCTAAAAACAAAAAAAGAAGAAAAAAGTGTAATTGAAATTTTCAATTGCGTATGTCTCTACTACAGGAGGTTGTTTCACTTTTCTGGGGAAATAATAAATTCCCTATGATTTGGGTCACTCCCCCCTCCCGGCGCTTTCAGCATTAATGGCTCCCATGCCTCTTTTACCTCTTGAATCTTGCTATTATCTACAAAAGTTTGCCTTAAAATGAGACATAAAAAAAAATAAGCCTAGTGAGTTTGTACTATTAATTTCTCAAGACTAAATTAATCACAACACCAGAACATTACACTACATTCTGTAATTTGCCAGTGCCAATATAACTTACTCAAATATTTTATACTAGACAGCATTAGATAAAGGATAAAACAAAAATGTCTTTAATGAAGTTATTCTGATGACTTGGCATTTTTAATGGGTAATAAAAAAAATTTTTTTAATGACTTACGATGTGTATAATATTGACCTCGAAATCCTTTTCTTGTAAAGCGAGAGTGATAGTGATAATATGTGTGCATATTGAGCAGCATAGTTCTATCAGTGGATCTAATAATATTGGGGAATCTTGTCCCACAGTATGTACCAATAAGTTGAGTAGGTATCACTTCTTTGTTGTATATTTCAAGAGAATCCATAGAGCAATATATACTCTCTAGAAGTTCAAAATCTTCCATGGCAATTCTAAGGTAAAATGTTGCAGGTGATAAAAAATTTTAATATCATTAAAAAAATGGTCTCAAATTAAAAATATTATAAAGGTGTTAAATAACACACAAAAATCTGATGTATTTTGTTCTCTGTAACATAATTAATTTATTTATTAATATAAATAATTATATGTATCAAGAATAATGATAATGAAAAAATAACTCACACTAATGTTACAACAGTACCAGGATTCCCAGTAATAGTAAAGTTACATTTTGCATTATAAAGTTGAATGTTTGGGTAGTCTTTTGTTTGAATGGGTCCATTTCCAGATAAATCTTTATTACAATCTGGGGGAAAAAATTTATTGTTTTATTATTTTTCATTGTCCCTAAATGATTTTCGGCCACTTTATAAAAGGACAGCCTGGGATTTAGGCTTTCTAAAAAGTATCAACTGCATAGGCAGGAAGAAAAAAAATGTTGACTCAATGAAACTAAAAGTAAAGTAAGTTGTTTTTTTTTTAAAAATTATACAAGTATCCATGATGACTTTGTCTTTATTTCCATGCCTAAAACATTAAATATAGTACCAATTAGAACTGCAAAAGGTTTATTTATAAGTATTTTAATATGGCATGGTGGTAAACTAAAATCGATTACTTTCAACTACTGTTTGCTCTCTTTGTATGCAGAATATAAAACCTAACAAATAACCTTTGACTGTACTAAAAATAGGTTGTTTTTTTTTTTAATTCTTATTTTCACAACACTGTAATTGCGTTTAGTCTATTGTTTACAATAATCAAATTCAAGAACTCTTGGTAAAATACTATAGATTTGCACACAAAATTTTTTTACATCTAGATATACTAATAAAAACTATTATGCAACTCATTTTGAGTTAGACCCAAGTCAAAATGGTCTTGCCTTATACATTTTATGCATTTCCCCCTTTCTCTACCCAGAAGAAAATATATTTATTTTTTAACACATTTTTATATCTTTAATTACATAACTATCTCAACTGATAATGAATTTTAGAGTTCTTTTATAAATGAAAATATTACTAAAATTATTTCAAAACAATGTTTTAGAAATTCTACCTGGCAGACAGTAGAAACTCCCTGGTGTGTTAATGCATTTCTCTGTGGGTGTACAACTGGAGGGTTTTAAACATTCATTAATATCAACAGAACAATCAGTGGCATTCCATCCTACTCTGCAGATGCATTTACCATCAACACTATCACAATACTGAGTGTTGCTTTGTACACAGATACAGTCATTAGTACATTCATCTTGACCATATGTGTAATCAGGACAAACTGAAAATCATTAAACGCCGTGATTTTATCAATCAAAGAAATTAAATTCAATCAATAAAAATGTAAACTTAAACTATTTTTAATAAAAGCATTAGAAATTTCAAATTTGAATTAATACAGAAAGTTCGTCTTCGACATTGATACACAAATTCCTGTTACTATTAGGTACCAGTTACCTGTAAGAGTGAGTAATTTTCATTTGGGATTTATTATGTCAGTGATGACACTTACACTTTACTTATTATAGAAATAAGAATGTTGTGTTTGTTTTGTGCATTATTACTTGAGTTCAACTATAATTTTGTTAATAAGTTAAGGGTTATTTTTTTTTTTTTTAATCTTTATTATTTCAACATTTTACCTTTTGTTTATCTTTAAGATTTAAGAACTGCATTTCAAACTTTGGCTTACCCTGGGAATGAACAGTTCCATTGAAACCCTTTCCAGTGGCTGAACCATCAGATTGAAACACAATGAACATAGCGTTTCCTTTCAATCTGATTAATGGTGGTATCGATGTCCCATAAGCCTGTAGTATCAATGAGTACCCAGCACTGCTGCCATCATAAATGGCAAGAAATGATTTGCCATTTGAACCAACATCTAGACTCTTCACTCTGTTAAAAAAGAAAGAAAAGTATGAGCTTTAATAGACCCTGGTACATATTACAAGGCAAAAAAATATAAAAAATTATACCTCCATCTTGAACTTTTTTTTTGGTATGTTTACCAATTTGTTCAGAAACAAAAAATAGCTTAGTCTAACCAAGGGTGGTAAACCTAGAGTTATTGCTCCCTGATTGTTTTATATGAGTGTAAGACATTGTTTTTTAGTATATACCATATTTGCCAGCATATAGGATTCAGCAGCGTATAAGATGCACCCCCTTTTTTATACACATTTTTAAGAAAAAAATATCTTTTTTATTATCAGGACATAAGATGCACCCAAAATTGAAGGCATATTTTGAGTAGCAAAATGTGTAGAATTACCTGAGTGACAATGTATCTCCAAATGTCTTTGTAATCAACCAGTAGCAAATAGTGTTGTTTTTATAGGTGGGGTAACCTGGGCTCTGGATGATTTGTTGTGTATGATTAACAGTCATTAGATATTTTTGGCTAGGGTAATCTGAAAATTTTTCAAAGAATAAAGCAATACTTCATTTTTTTATAAAATTTAATACCATAAATAGGATATATTTGAAAGCAAAAATAAAGACAGCTTTAAGATACATTTAACCTGGGAGATTTTTCATTGCTGACTTTATTTAGCACTACCAGGACTTAGAATGATAATTTCATGAAAAAACTGGATACTTAACATTACCTTCAATTAGATGGTCATAATAAGATATTTTCCTTTTAAATTCTAAAACTTTTGCATACAAGAGAAAATTGTAGCCTACAAAAAAAATATTTATTAATTAAATTTAAGTAGGCTATAACTGAAAACGTGTAACTTATGTAGGAATTAATTTAAGTGTCTTTTTATTAGTAAAAATATTTGTGTTATGAAGGACTTTTTGTCAAGTGGAAGAGATGAATTATTGGATGGACCTGTAATGCCCTTTATCTGTGATTGGGAGACATGTGAAACATTACGTAAATTCTTACCATAGGCAATGTAGTTTCCCATAAATGAGCCCTTCTCAGAATAACTATCTGATCTAAATATAATGTGCAGCATATTTCCCGTTGATCTAATAGTTGAAATTGGTCGGTTCATTCGAAAGTATCTTCCTAGCATTTGAGCACTAGCATTTCCACCATCATAAACCTCGATATAATCATGATACATTTCACCTCGAGTACCTTGTTTCCAAAAGGTCTCACGATAATCATCTGGGAGATCAACAACCCTTAGGAATATCATTAAAATTATTCATTGTTATTAAATAGAGAACAATTGACTTGAAAACTAGCTTAAATAAAGGTTGTAAAAATGCCCATGTTCATCAATGCACCATTTAGTTAAAAAATATGTTAACCTTTAATGACACGGTCAAAGTCATAACAACTCATGAGCAGAGCTAGGGTAATTCATTAAATCAGGTTTGTCTCATCAAATCTTAAAATTAACTTATAGGTTGTTAAATAAATTTCAATAAACAGTCTTCATGCTGAGATTGAAATGTTGGCCTTGAAATTTTGGCATTTTTTTACGATTTAAAGAGAGAAAAAAAAGTTTTAGGAAGGTGACAAAAATAAATATTGTTTATAATGTTAGGAATAAATAAAATTAGAAAAGCCATGGCATAACAATTTTTTTCCCCCTTTGCAATCAATAACAAAATAAAGTTGATGTGAAACAATGGATGTGGATGACAAAACTCTTTAAGTTTGTGCACAAAAAGTTAAAATAACAATTTTTGTTAGTTATTCTAGACCATATAGACATAAATTTGAAATAAAGACTTTAAAGAGATAGTTTAATTAAAAATTGTTATATATTCCTGTGGTAAAATAAAGGCTGCTTTCAAACTGTTTCATTTAACTTAACTTTAATTATTTGATTTTTATTTCATTGAATTGTTTGAATGCATTACTGTAGGGAAATTTTAAGTGGTGCAGTCACAGTAATGGTCCAGGAACACTCAGCATTAGGCCAATATGTACTTGGATAGTAAGGTGCCTTTACAGTCCCTGCAGTAGCTGTTATTTTGTTATTGCAACCTGAAAGTTTAAATTGTAAGATGAGACATTTCAACATTGAAAAAATAACTGGATAAACATATTTTACTTAAAATTTAATGTAATAAAATTATCTTGCAATGCAAATCAATTATTATTTTGATGTAATTCTACAAGGAAATAAATAGTTGAACAAGCTTTGTTTGGGCTTAAAAAAAAAAAAAAAAATGATTGGATAATTACACGCACTTTTTGTTTCTAAACAGAGACAAAGAAAACCAAGTTTTGATCAGAATCTTCAAACACATAAGTTTAACACATAAGTTTTTAATTTAAAAATTATCTTGAAATGCAAATCAATTATTATTTTGTTGTAATTCTACAAGGAAATAAATAGTTGAACAAGCTTTGTTTGGGCTTAAAAAAAAAAAAAAAAAAATGATTGGATAATTACACGCACTTTTTGTTTCTAAACAGAGACAAAGAAAACCAAGTTTTGATCAGAATCTTCAAACACATAAGTTTAACACATAAGTTTTTAATTTCTATTTGCTGTCCCTTGTTTTGTCTACTGAGGAAGGCGTTTAGCCAAAACGTACTTGTAATTGAACTGTCTTTTTTTTCAAAGCCCAAACATACCCTGTTCTATTTATTTACTTTTACACGGCTTGAACGCAGTACCTCATATATTATTCTACAAGGAAAGCAGGGGATAAAAATGTCAATTAAATGAAACAATATTCTGCTTTAATGTTCCTTAGCTTTAGGATTTTATAGATCACTAATCCAAATATGTTTTCTACATAACATAACCATGTGAGCTTTTATTTCACAAATCCATTTTTATGATAATTTCTTTAAAGAAGAAACAAAATATATATTAAAGTTATGCAGGTCAGTGTTTCTCAAATGGTGGTCAAGGAATGGTGTTGGTCCACGAGCCTTATGTTGCAGTCCGCACAACATAAATATATTTATGGTAGTATAAAAGGATATTGTAATTAATAAATCTGGTACCGGTCCATG